CAGAGCGCGCCATCACCATGACCAGCAACTCCTTCGCCCGCGCGATCGTCTCCAGCGACTCGTGGCACAGGAAGGGGTGCCGCCTCCAATCCCAGGCCCGAAGCCCTGGTGAGCCCGGACATGTTTTCGCGCTGGGAGTCCCTCGAGAGTCCTCTCATCTTCGTGGCTGGGTCCGCCTCGAACACCTGCTCGAGGCGGACGCCAGGACAGGCCTGACGGACAGCAGCCAGGCGCTGAACAGCGCATAGGCAGACAAACACAGCACAGCGTAAGACACAACACGCACTGGCGCGCACCACAACGCCGCGAAACATGGCAGAGTCGACAGCCATGCGGGAGGGGGGAGGACGACGAGGAAGGGGTGGGACCTCGGCACGCCCAGCGGCGTGGCAGAAACTTGTAGGCACGTGGGGCCCCCGATTGCTTCGGCCTGCCTCTTCTCTGGCATTGGCCCCAGACCCGAAGCAAAGGGCATCCCAGCTGACACGTGAGCGGGTGCTCGTGTGCCAACCCTGCGATATTGCTGCATAGTGCGCCTACGAGCAGGGATCCCCCCGCCCCCGTCGCCTCCTACGCCAAGCTCGCTCCTGCTGGCCTCGCCTCAAGCTCCTCAGGGCCCCTGCCAGACCAAGGCAACACAGCAGCAGCAACATCTGAGGCTGGCACTGGGGCCAAACGAACAAAAAACACCAGATCACAACGGAAGCATCCCAGACAGCAAAAGTAGCACCACAAAGCGTGGGTACGAATCATCCCCAACCCCCCCACTCATGCGTCCCCCCCACTCGAGGGTGGGCTTTAATCGACAGATCTCTCGCTTGATGAAGAAGTAAAGCAGCAACAACGGTAACGATTCGCAGATACTTGACCAATGGCCCCTCTCCTTCGTGTCAGTGGTCCAATTCGGCCGTGCTGCTCTCCACTTGGCAACCACATGGAAGCACGATCATGGGGCTGGGGTGGCCAGTTTCGATTTAGCGCTACGCTCAATTTAGGCATGAGCCCCAGGGGATGCTGAGAGCGGGGGCATCCGTACCTCTGCCTCTCGGGAGCCCCGCAAGCCTCGCGAGAGGCCGCCCCGTCGAGGGCCCTCCGTCCGCGCTCCGGCACGACCTCCCGGAAGCCCGCTGGCAAGATCCAGGCCGCTCCAGCATCGTTTCACCGATCCCCATCCCCAGCGGCGTGGCCCGGGCCCCACTGGCCGATTCACCCCCTAGATGGGGATACGGGTCGTCCCCTTCGGGTTTCGATGGGTGTATCCCCAACTGGAGTGGTACTTTGGTGGGGGTCTCGAAGGGGATGAGCGTGGGGATGGGAGTGAGTTAAAACGATGCTGAATCGCTGCCCTTGCCTCGACTGCATCGGCTTGCCAGATGCTCGTTCGGGGGACCTTCCTGGAGCGACTCGCGCCACTAGTGCGTCCGTGCTGCGTCCCCCGGCCGTCGACCCAAGTCGAACTTGAGTCGAATGTGAGTCGCACTTGAGTCGAGCGGGAGTCGAACAAGAGTCGAACTAGACTCGAGCCAGAGTCACACAGATCTTTCAGATGAGCCCCACGAAGGCCCCCAAACCGAACAGATCCGGGAGTTGGCACCAACACCGATATCCGCCACTGTGCCGCTGGGCTCCAAGTGGAGTGTCTTCAGGTCTTTCCTAACCCTTAGCACTGACTGTAGAAGCACCCGTTCAGGTGCCACAACGCTTCGGACCTCGGGACCTCTGGGGGCTTGTCGCAGGACCCTTGCGGCTTCCCGCAAGACTTCTCCTCAGGCCAGGGGCCCTGAGACAAGCCAACAGGGGCCCACTGAGGCCCCCAAGACGGTCCAAGAGGTCCCCAAGACGGCTCCAACCCAAGAGGCCTCCAAAACGTCCTAAGGTGTTTTTAGCGTTCTCGCCTCTTCGGGCTTCCATTGCTGCAAGACGGCCGAAGAGGCCCCAAAGGTCAGCCCAAGACGGTCCAAAGGGTCTCCGACTGCCCCAAGACGGCCCAAGAGGACCCAAAGGCGGCCCAAGAGGCCTCCAAGACAGCCCAAAGGTGGCCTCAGAGGGCCCAAGACGGGCCCAAGAAGAGAGCCCGAACTGACATTTCGAGCTCTCGACCCCAGGAGGATGCCAGAAGGCCTCCAGGAGGTCTCTGAGAGGCCCGCGGGGGCCCCCAAGAGGCCCCCGAGAGGCCCCAGAATGCCCCCTAAGAGGCCACAGGAGGCTCCCAAGAGGCCCCTCAGAGGGCCCCAAGAAGCTCCCAGGAAGCCCCTGGAAGGCCCCAAGATGATCTCCAGAGGCATCCTTTGCTTCCACCTTTTCTCCTCCTCCTCCTCCTCCTCCTCCTCATCATCATCATCATCATCATCATCATCATCATCACCACCACCACCACCACCACCACCACCATCATCATCATCATCAGCAGCAGCAGCAGCAGCAGCATCATCATCATCATCATCATCATCATCATCATCATCCTCATCATCAGCAGCATCAGCATCATCATCATCAACATCGTCATCATCAGCAGCATCATCATCAGCAGCAGCAGCATCAGTATCAGCATCATCAGCATCAGCATCATCATCGTCGTCATCATCATCAGCAGCAGCATCATCACCACCACCACCATCATCATCATCATCATCATCAACAACAACATCATCCCTCGTCCTCTCCCAAGTGTTCCCCCAAGGGGGTCCACAACGACTGGGGGAACACCTAGTGCAATAGCTTGGCCAGCCTTCGGCCCAACGTTTGGCCGCATGGGCGTTTCCAAAAGGCAGGGGGCGGCGGTGATTCACCGTAGGCGTCTGCGATACAGATATACGTGTAGGCATAACACAATGAAAAAATAGCAGTGGACTTGAAAGCCGCCGCCCTCACGCCCCCCTCTTCTGCACGCCGCCGACTGCTCCCACCTTACCGCCGTGGTGAAGCGCTGGCGGTGCAGCCGGGCCAGCAGCCGGTCCTCGGTCACGGTCCCAGACGCCGTCAAGCACTCGCGCAAGGCCTTGGGGAGTTTTGTGGCTGGCTCGGGGTCAAGCCTCGTGACTGCCACGAAACCACGACCACCACCATGGACATCGAATCCCACTGGCCCTCTGGACATTCGCAGCTCTTTCGAAACAACCCCCCATTCCTCTCTCGTAGGGTGGGTCCCTCCCCCCTTCCCTTCCCAAGAGTGTGGCCCGTGCTTCCCCGAGGCGGATGGGCTTCCAAGATGGCCCCAGATGGCTCCAATACGGCGCCACATAACCCAAGATGGCATCCAAGATGGCTCAAGATGGCCGACGGTGGACCAAGATGACCTTCCTCATGCCTCCAAGACGCCCCCTGGCGACCCCAATGTACTTCGAGGTGGTCACTGAGCCTTCCAACCCGACGGCCCAACATCATGACACGACAGACGTATGTATTTAAGGTGGCCCGAAAATGACCCAAGGTATCCCCAATAGAGAAGGCCCCAGCGCGGCCAGAAAGACCCCCAAGAGCACGCCAATAGAGCTCCAGGAGCGCTCCAAGAGGCTCGAACATCCCGAGGTTGGACATTGCTGGGGGGATCCAAGTTGACCCCAGGTTAGGTGTCAACGGAGTCCACCTATTTGTTTCACTCGAGTTCCACAACACCAGTGCCCTTGTCACGATATCTCGCCTGGGAATCGTTCCTGGATGTGCTGGTAGGGATACCCGAAGCTGCTTCGAGAACGTTCAGGGAATGGTATCTAGAATGCAAAACTCCTCGACTGCATCCAAGCACCCGCTTCCATCATTCCCAGTACCTGGAGCAAGTGCACAGATATATGTTGTATAAATGTGTATACAGATGCATGCATGTGTATGTACACTCCTATTTGTACATATATATACACACACATCAAGGCACCATCAAGCGTATACCTTGCACAAGAGCCCACAAGAGCTGATGAATGAAGGGGCATTGTACGGCACCGCACAATACCACGCCGCCAAAAGGGCACCGCGCGACACGGCACAAGGGCAGAAACTCTACGGGACACCAACTGCAAGTTCGAGCACCACGGCTCAGGTCCTCAGGACCAAGATTGCTCCCTTACGCTCTCGCTCTGGAAGAAGAAAACACTGAAAGAATCGCACGGTCATCGCAACTAAAGAGGAAAAATGCGTCCGGCATTCGCACAGCATGGACGGCACTGCGCCCGTCACCACATGGCCGAATGCAGGCCCCCCCCATTGAGACATTGCGATGCGTCGAAGATCCCGTGAGGCAACCCCTAAACATCCAGCCACTGCTGCTGAGGAGGCAATCGGTGGCGTCACGATGTCAATATCGATGTCTTCCAGTCCCTGGTGCTGGGAAAACAGAAATGATGGGGAACGATCGGGGAGGATAAACATCGACTTCGAATCGGCGATGCAGCGATCAGCTTCCGATAGCGAACCCGCACGTTCCTGGACGGGGTGGGCTATCCGGCTTCTATCGGGGATGAATGTGTGTTTTGGAATCGATGCGTCCCCCTCGGAACCTGTACCATCCTAACTCTGCCACTGATGCTGGTGGGCAGACAGAGCGACGAGCGCCCCAAGGCATGAATCGAAAATGATGGCACGACGAAACTGATGGCGCAAAGGTCGGTGGCAACTCAGCGGAGCCTCCCGTACATCTTGCTAGCTCTTGCGAATCGACGCCAGCCGACGCCAGCCGACGCTAAGTCGACGCTAGTGGACGCGAATCGACACTGACTCGGCGCTACCTCATCGACTACTAGACGCCAGTCGACGCTAATGCACTCCGAGGACGGAATTGCGAAGGTGTACAAGGCTGCAATGAGTTGCTGCCGAGACAGAGGCTCGGCCTCGTGCTCGTCGTGCAGACCAGAAAGCCGCGACGAGAGCACGGCCAGCTGCCCCTGCTGCGCCTGGAGCAGGCGCGCAAGGCGCTCCAGCTCCGCCCGGGGAGGGGCAGAACCCATGGCGGCTGACAGAATTTGGAGCCTCCCAAGTGGGGTCCGAACAGATGGGGTCGGAGGATGGCC